GGCTGTTTCCTTTATTTCCTTTTTCGTTTTTTTTTTTTTTTTTTTAATCTGAACAGAACCGCGGAGTCGACCTGGTTCTCCTCTCCGGCCGGGGTTGCGCGGTTCCTGCCTGGTTCATCCACCAGACCTCAGCTCTGTCACCGCATCTCTGTCGTCGCCGCGTTAATGAAACCGTGTAATGTGCAGCGACAATGAGGAGCCTAACCACACCTTTGGAAGTGGACGTCTCTCCCGCAGCCTCCTGACCAACTTTCGCTGCGCACTGAGATGCGCCCGACGCCAGAGGAGCTGGATGATGAACCCTCTGCGCTGCCTCTGACTCCGAACCGCAGCTTCCACTGACATTTCGCTCCCGTCGCGCCCGTCAGAAGACCGAGGGGGTTCCTATGTATTTGAGGGGTGATCCCACCCGCCGCTGGCTGAGCTGAGTCATTTCAAAGTTTGCTGGAGAATCTCACTGAAGGTTTGCGGCGTTCATCATGACGGTCCGTCTCTCACGGATCCAACTGGCCCTGTTCTTCATCCTGCTGTGTCCGGTCAACATCATCGGGCTTTGGTGGTGAGTGTCGTGTATTTACTGCACGGTCTGGACTCACATCAGTCAACTGTAAATGTATCTGATGACGTAGTGTCTCCTAGAATAAAGTTATTATTTACAGGTAAAAGTAGTTGAAGTTATTGTTGGTTTGATCGTTTTATTTCAACTTAAATTGATGAGTTAAAGTAACAGATTAACGAGGCTGAACTACTGGCAGTGTGTCCTGGCATCACAAAGAAAGTGTGTGTGTGTGTGTGTGTGTGTGTGTGTGTGTGTGTGTGTGTGTGTGTGTAGAGTGGACAGATCTACTGATAACTACTGTTGGTCTGTGGATGGAAGTGTTGTCTTGATACAGTGGTTCATTGGATCCAGTCTTGTTTTCTCCGTCTGTATCACACACACACACACACACTCTGTCTATCTCGCCCTCTGATATGTTCTCTCTCTTCCTCTCTCTCTCTCTCTTACACACACTCTGAAGTCGCAGCGTTTGAATGTGAAGCTTTGTTTTTTCTCCAATCTTCCCACACGGCCTATCAGGGGTCAAGGTCACCGTGGGTGCGGGGTCACAGGAGCTGTGGAACTCCACTGTCCGTCCTTGTACGACTGGTTTGGACGGGCAGCTGCAGAGGATGCGTCTTCATCTGTGTGTGTGTGGGGGGGGGGCTCTGACTCTCTTGTGAGTCTGTGCTGTGTTACAGTGTGTGTGTGTCTCACCAACTCATGGGTCGTGGACCACTGATGACACGGTCATGGAGCTGACGAACACCAGTACAAGTCTTTACTTGTTGAACCGACTGAAGGTCAAATCTGATTGATATTGACGTTTTCTTACGGGCCAGATGTGGCCCCCGAGCCGGGAGTTTGAGACTCATCAGACCTCCACCTGGTCATTATCAGTGACCAGGACTTTTTTATTTGACTGTTGACTCAAATTTCCAGTTTAGGTTTTTGGGAAGAAACTTTTTTATTCTTTTCAGTGAAATTATTTTAAACAAATATAAAGATGTAAAAACAAACTCCAAATGTTTGGTTCATAAAAGCATCATCATGAGACCCGGCCTTATGGACCAGGAGACGTGACCTGGTGGTGACCTTTGTCCTCGACTGTTTATTATGGGAAAATCTCCATGTTAACAAACAAACAAAACAGAATTAAGTCACTAAAGGGACATTCCAGAATTCTTTCCTTCAGTTGTTTTACCTGATGTTGGTGCTGTTAACTTACCACAAGAAGAAGAAGAAGAAGAAGAAGAAGAAGAAGAAGAAGAAGAAGAAGAAGAAGATCACCACCAGTTCAAACCCCGTCAGTAACTGCTGCTCTTTCTGTGAGGAGCGTAGCCGTTCTCACTGCCTGAGTGTGTGTGTGTGTGTGTGTTTGTGTAGATTTGTCCAGATAATCCTACAGTTCAAAGTCATGTAGATCAGAGATCAGTTCATTTAGTCGGACACTTGGACGGTGGAGGCTGAATAACTTGTCTCTTCATCTGTTTCCTGTCGCCGTCCTACGACAGTCAGGATTTACTTTCCTCAAAAGAATAAAGAGGAACAAAAGATGAATGAACACATTTTAGAGAAAAAAATATGTATCTACAATAACGACTGACTAATAACGAATTTTATTTTATTTGAATCAAATTTGTAGAATTTTATATCCACTGCTATAAAAAGTTTAAAACCCCACGGCAGACAAAAGAGACCAAAACAGCACAGGTGGACAGAGTCCATCAGATTAACCAGAGGGTCTTGATCCTGTTGACCCTTGTGTGAGAGGAGGGGTGAGATGGGAGGGGGGGGGGGTCACTGTCCCTTCAGGGAGCCATGGGGTCAAATTGTTCAGTCACTTTATTTATTTTTTTCTACTTTTATAAAACAAAATCCCAACAACTTTCTTATTTTTTCTCACCATGATATGAAGTGACTGGTTCCGTGAAGAGTCTTTGACGTGGATTAAAGCTGTGGTGGATTAAGAGACGTCCACTTCCTCTTTATCCCCGCTGACATGCTTGTCATCTTTCTCCCCTCTCCCCCTTTACACACACACACACACACACACACTCATTCACGACGAGCTGCGAGCACACACACCTGCGCTCCGACTCACACGCACCCACACAGCGGCCGACTTTGGTGCGGCGGGGGCGAAGCCACCACACCTGTGAGTCGCTCGTCTGCCTGCCAGGACAATGGTGCCCTCTGTTGAAAGCTGCTGGACATACCACCGTCCTTCTCTTGAATGTCTCCGTCTGTCTTTAGTCTAACTCGTCTTTTGAGGGTGAACGCCGGTCATTACAGATAGGTTGTCGCTGAAGGAAGAGGGTGAGTGAGTGAGTGAGAGGGAGAGGGAGAGAGAGAGGGAAGGGGGGGAGAGAGGGGAGAGAGAGGGGAGAGAGCGAGGGAGATGAAATGCCAGGAGATAGCTGTCCTTTCAGAGCCTCTCCTGATTAGAGCGCTCTAATCACTTGGCCTGAGAGCAGAGAGAGAGAGAGAGAGAGAGAGAGGCTGTAGAACCAGAGGAGTGAGGAATGTCTTTGCTCTCCTTTACTGGTTTTGATTGCAGTGCTTAGCGGGGCCATCTTTGCCGTGTGTGTGTGTGTGTGTGTGCAGTTGGCGTAGTGTATCACGGGGGCCACAGGTGCACACACACACTCACTGACAAAGTCCTGTGTGTGTGTGTGTGTGTGTTTATGCCCACGTCAGTACGAATGGATCCACCGTTAATGTGTTCAACATGTACTTACTGGGTCACACACACACACACACACACACGTGTACACACCCAGCGCCATCATCAGCAGAGAAGAGTCGTCACTGTAGCAGATCTTATCTTGTCCACGTCTGTCCAATCAGGACCGCTCCGATGGACACAGATAAAGATTGACTGCTGATGTGGGTTTGGCACCAGAGACAGAAGCCAATTAAATATGTTTATGTGGGTGTGTGTGTGTGTGTGTGTGTGTGTGTGAGAGCATGCATTTCTCAACACAGTCCAGTTGGGACATATTTGACTGTCAGAAATATATACACACCAGAGGAGAGGGAAAAGTTTCAGCTTCTGTTTTACATTTACAAAAGTGTTTTTTCTTTATTATTATTTTTAATTAATGGAAAAAAATGTAGCAACAAGTCGTCTTTTTAGCTACTGATTTTTTTCTTTATTTTTTGTTTGAAAATGACTGACATTTAATATACATGTTTTGACTGAACTGCTCAGTGAAGCCAACTTCTCTTTGTCCCAATCCCTGTTTGGCCGACAGCCTGTCTGGAGCGTGTCACACACTCACAGGTGCTGCACACACACACACACACGCAGCCTGTGTGTGTGTGTGTGTGTGTGTTCTTCGATGGGTTGACATTGCCGACACTGATATTGTCATTAAGTTTATTATTATTGGCAGTTTCTGCCCACGTTAAGTCACGGTGTGGAATTCCCTTCACGTGTTTCTTCAGGCTCATCACATTCCCTGTTGTCAGACGTGTGTGTGTCTGTGTGTGTCTGTGTGTGTGTGTCCTCCCCATTGACAGGTTATCAATACTGTATCTGTATCTGGACACAGTGGATGTTTGTGCTGCGTTTGTCCATTAGTGACGTAGCTGTTGTTGATGAGTCAGCTGAAGCATCTGTGGTGGGGGAAACTGACTGTCTGTCTGTCTGTCTGTCTGACTGTCTGTCTGACTGCCTGTCTGTCTGTCTGACTGTCTGTCTGTCTGGCTGTCTGTCTGTCTCTCTGTCTGTCTGTCTGACTGTCTGTCTGACTGCCTGTCTGTCTGTCTGACTGTCTGTCTGACTGTCTCTCTGTCTGACTGTCTGTCTGTCTGTCTGTGTCTGTCTGTGTGTCTGTCTGTCTGTCTCTCTGTCTGTCTGTCTGACTGTCTGTCTGTCTGTCTGACTGTCTGACTGTCTGTCTGTGTCTGTCTGTCTGTCTGGCTGTCTGTCTGTCTCTCTGTCTGTCTGTCTGTCTGTCCGTCTGACTGACTGACTGTCTGTCTGACTGTCTGTCTGTCTGACTGTCTGTCTGACTGTCTCTCTGTCTGACTGTCTGTCTGTCTGTCTGTCTGACTGTCTGACTGTCTGTCTGTGTCTGTCTGTCTGTCTCTCTGTTTGTCTGTCTGTCTGTCTGTCTGTCTGACTGCCTGTCTGTCTGTCTGACTGTCTGTCTGTCTGTCTGTCTGTCTGTCTGTCTGCAGCTCATCCCTGTACTGTATATTCAGAATACACTTAAATATCTCTGCATCACAGCAGGCCGTTCAAACCATCAGCAGGTTCATAGTACAAGTCGTAAAGTGAAAGTACTTCTACTGATATGAGTCACTTTTTAGCTGTGGATTAATCACGATTAATTGCCACTTGTTAATGGCACTTTGAAATAATAATAGGCCGACCTCTGATTCCCAGTTGAAAAAAAGTCTCAGATGAGGACACGTTGACATGGACAGTTGACATGGACAGTTGACATGGACAGTTGACATGGACAGTTGACATGGACAGTTTTCCTGTGTAAACCTTGTTGATTTCTGACAGTTTGCTGGATTCTCCTGCCTTTAGTTTGTTTAATAAATCATGTTGTCTTTGATCTCTCATTAGACTCATTAGTTGTTGATGTGTTGCGTGATCACCAGTCATCAAAAAAAAAAAAAAAAAAAAAAGTCATCAACCAGTCATCCAACCAAAACCTGGTCAAACCGGTCTGTTACTCTTCACCTCTGTCTGTTCAAAACCCTGAACTCTTGGAGAGTTTTGTTGTAGCCAACATTTAGGACCTGCCCTGACAGAGGGACGGCTGGAACTTATTTATTATCCTCTACTGCAGTGATTATCAACTGGCGGCCCCCGGGCCCCAATCTGGCCCACTGAGCTGTCCAATCGGGCCACTGACTGGATTCCAAGATAAACATGAAGTAAAAATGTTAGACAGAAATGTCATTTTTATTTCATTTTATTTGAGTGTCCGGTCCGTGTCTCGGACAAATTTAATTTCAAGTTTAATTTGAGCTTAATGTCGTATTTTTTTGGCCCAGTTGGGTCGGTTTTATCAAAGGTCCTGTGGCTACGGTGGATGAAGTGCCGTGCTGCACAGGACCCTTCTGTTTTTTCACTCCACCCACAAACGAGTGAATCTTATCCCTCCATAATCCTGCAAGTATGCTGAGACTAAGACAGTCACGACAGGCACTGGTGTGAGACGCCAGGGTGTGAGAGAAAAAGAAAATGATGTCA